CTTTTTCATTATCACTATATTTGTTATAGCATTCTGTGATCAGTGGTCTTCAAGGTACTTTTATAAATGTTTTGGGGTGCCATGAGCTGTAACCCTCTAAGATGGTGAACTTCATCGATGAATGTTGTGTGTGCTCTGATTACTCCACCTGCCAGCTGTTTCCATCTCTCATTCTCTTCTTGGGCCTTTCTATTCCCTGAGGCACGACAATATTGGAATTAGGGCAATTAATAACCCGACCACGACCTCTAAGCGTTCAAGTGAAAGGAAGAGTCATTCATTGTTGTCTTACTTTAAGACATGGCCACAGCCACCCCAGCCTTCAGCAGCCCCTGCCTTGATCAGTCAGTAGCCGCAGCAGCGAGGCAAGACCCTCCACTAGCCAAAAGATTATGACTCACTGGAAGCTAGGATGACAGCGTTTTCTTAATCAATACAATATATATATTTTTAAAGATTTTATTTATTTGAGGGAGAGAGAGAGAGTGAATGAGAGAGAGAGGTAAGGAGAATCTGAAGAAGACTGCACTGAGCACAGCCCCACACGGGGCTTGATCCCGCAACTGCGAGATCATGAGCTGAGCTGAAACCAAGAGTTTAAGCTTAACTGACTGAGCCACCCAGGCTCCCCATCAATAAAATACTTTTAAACCAAGTTATGTATGTTGTTTTTTAGGACACAACATACTTAAAAGGCTATAGTATAGTATAAACATAATTTTTATATGCACTGGGAAGCCAGAACATTCATTTGACTTGCTTTGTTGCAATATTTCCCTGATTATGGTGGTTTGGACCTGAACCTGCCGTATCTCTGAGGAATGCATATATGCATTGTCAACATGACTTCCCAAGTTTGAGTCCAATTTACACAGCCTCCATGAATGAGTGAGCTTGTTAATTACCCTGCAGACTTAATTTATGGTGTTTTGACCTTAAAAGTTATTAATTTAATAGGCATTTCTGCTACATTTTCACCACGTATGCCAAAGTGAGACAGTATTGTATAATGGGAATGCACGGGTTAGAAATTTTGTTTGAATCCAGATTTTTCCAGATGTGTGACCTCTGTAAGCCTGTTTCCTATAATTTTAAAATGAGGCTACAAATCTGATATTTACTTTTGTAAAGAATAAATGGAAACTATACTTTCAATCATACACACTTACATCATGTACACGCATGCATGTACACACACACACACACACACACACACACATACACCCTGTAATTTGGCACCTGGCATATAAGAGGTGCATATTATGTGAAGGTGCATATTATGTGACAGGTCATGTATAATCAAATATATGTTGTATGTGTGGCAGAAGAGTAATAATTGAAAGGTTTTGCTGTAGCCACTGTGTATAATGAAAAGAAGTGGAATTTAAGGTTTACAAACCTGTGTGCCTATCTAATACTCTGTGAAATGAATGTCGTATCTGTAGAACATTCAAGAAAATTACATAAAAAATAGAGAATTCAGTGCCTGAAGCAGTGCTGTTCGTAACTGGTTCCTTCTTTTCAGGAAACTGAGCAATGAGTTGGTCAAAATAGATTATCTTTGAATTCATTTTAAAAGCCAGAATTATTATCTCACCTGCCTGCCTTCCCTTTAATTCATTAAATAAATATTTATGGCCAAGCATGGTTGTAGCTCCAAGGTACAGTCATAGACAAGATCAACGAGATCCTTTGTTTTTAGGAGTTTACATCACAATTCTAAATAAACAAACTGGTTCCTTTCAGCTGGCATGAGTCCTCCTAGAGTCGGTGATGACTCCAGGCCTGTGTGTGGCCCCAGGAGCAGATGAATGTGGTATTTCCTTGTCTCACTGGCCGGTACCATGTTGTTGACTAGTCCTCTTGCTTTACAGAAATACTGAATTCATGGAAAGTTGATATTTTTGATACCCTGTTTTCTTTTTCTGACAAAACTTCAAAGGGTTATTATAGACTTATGTGATCATAAGAGATGATCATAGATATGATTTACTTCTGGTGAAATGATGATATATAACAATGGGAAATATGATTAAATTGAGAAATTATACACAATCTTTTTAAGAACACAGATGTTGTAGAAAATGAGGTATCTATATTTGCTTTAGAGACAACACTGCCATAATGTTTTTTTGTAAAGCATATAATTGTAATGTAGTAAAATGCTTCTGTGAAAATAGGGATGTTGAATAATCTTACTAGTGAATCTTCAGGGTTTGTCAAATTGTTTTCTCTATTTAAAAAAATAAAATATCTCATATTGTGGTACAAATGGCAGTAAATATGTAAGTGCTATAATGGTTGAAAAGACTGTAAGCTCCTTGATGGAAATCACACTATGATGTCTCATTATTTTCAAACAAAGCAAGAAAAGCCATTGATGACAATTCTGTTAGCTTTATTTGATGATTAAAGTGTTTTTCAATACACTTTAGTATTTCTTAGCAAGAATATGCTAGTATGTTGTGATTGATAAATAGTAAACATTAATGTATATACTGTTTTTAAACTCTAAATTGATATGATTTCTCTTTATAATCTGAGCTTAAGTTACTCCCTTTTGGTCAATTATATATACATGTATATCAAAGGATAAATAGTATATATCATTTGTTTATTTTTCATCTACTGGATCAGGGACTGGGTTATATTTCTATTTCAATGGGCAACACACTTCTTGTCACATTAAATCACATCAAATATTTTTAAAATGATTAGAAGTCTACATGAATTCTTTCTGTACAATTTTACGGATTTTTATGTTTGTCACTGCATCAGGTTGCTTTATTGTCTTGAGAGGTTTCAAACGTTTGACTTAGAGGTGCATCTTACTGCCTGTCACTACCATTGCTTATGCAGGTCTGACCTTTTACCGTCTGTCCCTTCTTCAGGAACGTTCTACAGCATGATAAATGTTAAAACTCATATAGTGCTTTTTGGCCATTCTTCTCCAGGGTGTGTGCATATGAGAGTGTGTGTGTGTGTGTGTGTGTGTGTACATGTATGGTACTAATACTTGTAGAGAATCTTGAAATAGTAGAAAGTAGCAAACAAAGAATATTTACATTGATCCTACTACCCACATAGAGCCACTATTCATATTTTGCTGTTCCTCTTCAGGTGCTTTTCTATGCATGTGTGTTGTATGTGTGGACAAGTGCCTTGCACAAAGAAGGTGCTTTATAAATGTGTTGAATAAACAAATATCTCAGTATATGTAAAAAATTACATTTTAAAACTTAGGATAATATAATTTGTTTTATGATCTTTACATTGATTTTACTTAACCTAGAAAATTTCCAAGATATTTTGTTACTTAAAAAATAGTTTTCAGGGGCGCCTGGGTGGCTCAGTGGCTTAAAGCCTCTGCCTTTGGCTCAGGTCCTGATCCCAGGGTCCTGGGATCGAGCCCCGCATTGGGCTCTCTGCTCAGCAGGGAGCCTGCTGTCTCCTCTCTCTCTCTGCCTGCCTCTCTACCTACTCGTAATCTCTGTCTGTCAAATAAATAAATAAAATCGTTAAAAAATAGCTTTCAGTAACTTCAAAATCATATGTATATATGTGCCTATGTATATATGTACATGTGTTATAGTCTTTTTGACCTTTCTCTCATATTATTATTATTTTGTGTATTTGTCGTAATAATGTTTTGATGTATATTTTTACTATCTACTTTTATCATGACTAAGTAACTTAGCATGTTAATCCTAGAGGGGAAATTACTGGGATATCAAAGTATAAACTTAAAACAGTTATCAGTCCTTTTCAGATTTTTATTATTTAAAAATGATATTTTTATTGAATTACAAAGGATAGCTATTGATTTAGAAAATTTGGAAAGCAGAAAGATAAAGTGCAGAGAAAATTGGGAAGAAGCCATAATCCTGGCAGCTAAAGATGACTTCACTTAAGATTTTCATTTATGTAATTTTAGTCTTTCATATTTCAATTACATCTTTTACCAAAAAGGATCATTTTGTTTTCTAAACTGTTGTCTTTTTCCCCACTGGTAGTGTATCATTTACATAGTCTTTCTCTGCCATTAATCTTCTATAATGTAATTTTACAGCTTATTATTAAAGTGACATGTCTGTATAATGTATTTAATTAACCCTCTTTGTAGACCAGTAGTTTGTTTCCAACGTTTCATTATTATGAGGAGTTCTAGGATAGAAACCCTTGTGTGCATTCACTGTAATCGCATTAAGACAGATTCCTGGAAACAGAATAGCTGGTTCAAAATTATATATGAAAAATTTTTAAGGCTTTTGACATATATTTCCACATTGCCTTCCAACAAGTTGTACCACTTGATGTTCATCCCAAAAAGAGGTATGAAAGCAAAAGGAGATTATATGGATATTTGCAGGTCATTCACCTTAAAATGAACAAGGGCACGGATTGCATGGAGCACTGGGTGTGGTGCAAAAACAATGAATACTGTTACGCTGAAAAGAAATAAAAAATTAAAAAATGAACCAAGTCATGTTTTAGTACCTGTTTACTCTTCTTTGAGAGGAGTAAGAAACTACCCATTTTTTAAAAGATTTTATTTATTTATTTGATAGAGACACAGTGAGAAGGGGAACACAAGCAGGGGAGCAGCAGGAGAGGGAGAAGCAGGCTTCCCGCTAAGCAGGGATACCGATGTGGGGCTCCATCCCAGGACCCTGGAATCATGACCTGAGCTGAAGGCAGACACTTAATGACTGAGCCACCCAGGTGCCCCAAAACTACCCATTTTAAGTGTTTATCAGTGGTCTTCTTGGGGAAGGGGATATAGTCATAGACTTGTTCTAAAACAGGAGAAGCTGCATATGGGCTGGTTAGATGATTTTACTAAATGCTCATGGAAAGTGAGAGAGAAAGTTTTTATTAGTTGCTAGTTCTCCTGATTACCTATTTGACGAATCAGCCTGCTTGTTGTGTTTATCTTCAGTTAGATACTATTTTTCTGTCCCTAACTGCTTCAAGAAAAGTCACTGTGTTTTCTTTTCCAGTCCCTTCAATGGCTACACAGGAAGCATGGTCGTGGGAGCAGTACTTGACAGAACAGAAGGCTATAGCTGCACCAGTTGAACTGTTTTCCAAGGTGAATCATTAACAGTCTTATGTTTTGGCAAGGAATGGGCACTTAAGAGAAATAATCAAAAGGAAATCATTTGCCTACACAGAACACTCAACTGATTTCATTTGTAGGTTTCACTGGAAAGTAACATAACAAAGGTAATGGAAGCCTTAGTGATTCAGAATGTGTCCTCCGGAAACCCAGTGCTACTCCCTTCTAGCTCTGACCTTGGGCAAGTCATTCAGTCTCCTCATCTGTAATGTAAGGAAATTACCATACCTACCTCATGGGGTTGTTGGAGGATGAAATCAGTTGTTACACCTCAAGGGCATTGAATGCTATGGGCACATAATCTTTCTTTGTATTAGCAGATATTACTTGCACAGGACCACCCAAGGATCAGGTTTGAGGGGTCTGTTTTGATGTGCTGCGTGGAAGTGGTCGGTCAGGCAACATGTTGGAGGAGATAGTGAAACCCCATGTTCTGCCTGATTCTAACAATGTCCAGAGCAGCCTGTGTGGGCTTGCTTGACCAAGTGACTGTTGGCATAGGGGTGGGGAGAGGTTTCACTTGAGGGGAATCATCTTTACCCAAGGTACCAAATCTCCTGCTACCCTTTCTATTCTTCTTGGTTTGTGTTTTCAGCATTTCAGGGGAATTTATATTAAAAAAATCGCATCAGATTTCATCATTATATTGCATTTTAACCAGCGGCGAGAAAGTAATGCTTTTTATTTGCTTTACTTTTCATGACATTCTGTTGAGTTACATCTAGTACTTTTTATTATGCAAAAGGGCTAGCAATATTTTAAAAGATTTAATTATTTATTTTAGAGCGAGAGAAAGAGTGCAGCTGGGAGGAGCAGAAGGAGAGGGAGAGAGAATCTCAGGCAGACTACCCACTGAGCGCAGAATCTGATACTCGGCTCCATCTCATGACCTTGAGATCAGGACCCTGAGATCAGGACCTGAGCTGAAACCAAGAATCAGGCGCTCACCTGACTGAGCCACCCAGATGCCCCAAAAGGGCTAACAATTTTATTCCTGGCCATGGGAAGAGAATGGGGGAAGAAGTAATGTTAATAGGGAAAGAAAGAGTAACCAAATGCTGGCAGCTCCCTTTTAAGAAATACTAAATATTTCGTACTCAACCCAGTCTTCACATCGAATGGCTTTCTGGAGCTTTGGAAAACCCATGTGTATGGGTATTCCCGAAACCTGCTAAATTAGAACCTCAGCGACTGGGGCCTGGCGCCCTGGAGCTTGAGAACCTCCTTGGGCTTCTGTGTGCAGGATGGAGGTCCGAGGTGGTAGTAGCTTGTAGGAACTGTGCAGTGCCTGCTGACTCCTGATGAGACTGTCACTTGATGAGAATTAGGGTTCAAGGTCCCTAGGGAAGGGGTATCTTCTTCTCTTTCATGTTTCCTCACAGTCTCTGTTCTTAGTGTACTCATTATCAGTCAATGTTGAATGACTTCTGGGTAAACTCTTCATTTTTGAGCATGGAAGTTTCTTAAAGAGAGTTGGCTCTGACTGGAGCAATCCAGGGCAACCTGTATTTACACTTTCTCTCCATCCTTGGGCCCATCTTGTGCCCATGCTGTGTGGTCACTGCAGGACAGAGGGTAGAGTGGGCTGGCCCCAAACCCAGCTAAGGCCTGTCAGAAGCTGTGACCCCCAAGGGCACATGTAGTCCATCCAGGCCCATGGTGTGAGGTTCACTGCAGGACATTGACCAGGCTTGTGACCCAATGGCTGGGCATGGATGGGTACCGTAGGGTCTCAAGGCAACCAAGGACCACAAAAATGTAAGACCAGTCAGTGATTGAAGTCAGGATTTCCATGTAGCAGTATTGGCCATGAATGATTCAGGGTCTTAGGAATCAGACCCCCGTGGATCACCTGGCTGGGGTCCTCTCTTCCTTCCACTGAGAATTGAACCACTTTTTAGTGTGTTTGGCTGAAATGGGCCTTTGTTTCCAGAGCAAGGCAGGTTTGGGCTGATGACAGAGAGCCATTAGATTCTGGCCAGTGCCTGCATTTCTCCCTCAGCTCAGCTAGTGAGTGGATTAACGCTATTTCTTGGTTTCTCCTTCAGGACAATTCAAGGTCCAACAGCTAGTGCAAGAACACCTACAGAACAGAAAATTTCTTCCCTAGATTTTCCCTTGTGACTGAGTAATAAATAAAAAAACCACCAAGGGGCAAATGTGAGATTTCTGTTCCTGAAATAAATCCCTACATTAGGAATTGCTTAATAGTAGGTTATGGGTCATAGAACTTTCTCCCTTGACTTTCTAGAGATCTGATAAGAGAGGTACTGGTGAGCGCTAAGTGAGGGGAAACATGGCATTGTGAAGGCAGGGGTGGGTTCCCTTTAGAGGGTATAAGTGAATCTGTGACTCTGTCCACAGAGGAGAGATGAGTAATGAGCAGGGAATGCAGTCTGAGGATTCCTTGGCTCATCATGTGACTTTAAAATATGACTTTCTCAACCTTGTGGACTCTAATTTTGGTCAACTCTGAAACTGACCATAGAGTATGAGCACATGAGAAAGTGGACATGTCTGACCTGTAGGCATGGCTTTGTCTTCACTCAGAATTTAACAGTCAAGCTACTCAACGTTTTTGAGGCTCCATCTCTACAAAGCTCCATGTAAGATGTAGACTGAGACACTAAGGGGTTTATGACATGGTTGCTTAAAATCCTGCCATCTATTGGGATAGAAGATATGCCTGAAAACGTGACAGTGGTATGAGGTAGAATGTTCTTGTCAGTCGAATGTGCATGTAATGAGCTGGGTGTCCTGAGGAGAGGCAGCATCTCCTCCAGGCCTTATTGAGGAGGAAGAAGCTTACCAGTTACTAGGTCTGATTTGTCCTGATGACTGAAGATGCTGTGTTCAAATAACAGTGTTACTCTGACTGGACATTTATATTTTGAGATGAAGTGACATGGTTTATAATTGAAAATAGCTTTCAGTAGAATAAAAAAGGCAAATGGGTCAGGCCCGTCTTCTGAGAAAGATGATCAGATTGAACTCAGTTTTGGAGTAACATTGTGTTCTTGACTCTTCCTGTCCATTTTAAATGTGTAAATATTTTAATAATGGTGTTCAGGTCAGCCTGCCGAGATGGAACTTTTCAGGACACCGAAATGTTGAAAATAAAATGAAACTGTTTGCATGTCCTGATTGGAAAACTATTAAAAATATATCAACTATTGCTTTACTTTTAATATGTCATTTCCATTCTAACATTCAAGTTTTAGACGGTGTACCAGTGACACACACATACACACACACACGATCAGTTCCGTCATGCAAATCAGACACGTATTCTATGAAGAAAATGTATGTGTGTATTTTAAGAGTATGCTTATTTTATTTGCACATAAGATTTTTGCATATCTATAGGCCTATTTTGAATTTCTTTTTGTACAAGACAAAGTAAAGTGTTTTATAATTTATGGTTTATTTTACCATCTGGGATAGTGAGTGTACAAGGATATAAACACCTTCTGTTGACAGAAAATGTAAAAACATTTTCTCTTCATTACTGGTGAAATGTGCCTATCGTGACTTGATTCGAAGTTCAAAATATTTTTTCCTTTGGTTTTGAAGTTGGTTCTAAAACTTTCTCTCATCTCTCCTTGCCAGTCATCTGACCGTCCACTGCATCTCCCTGAAGCATTCTTCCCACCTGTTGCCCATCACAAGCTCAACTATGCCAGCCTGGAATCCCAGTCCCCACAGTCTGGCCTCATCTGCAGATGCTCATGAACAGCTTCTGTGCCGGTCAGCCTGTTGCTGCCCTGCTTATCTGTTCAGAGTCTTTATCCACGTGGGAGGCCTCTGTGTCTCTTCTTGTTCTCTGAACTTCCTAGGTCCCTGTTCCTCTAGGACCCTTCCCCTTCATGAAGCTGTCCCAGCCTCTGCACTCTGACCTGTGGTCTTGGCGGCCTCCGTCTGCCCGGCTCCGGCTGGTGGGAGTGAGGTTTGGGAGCAGCGTAGGACCAGCATGAAGGCGGATCCTGTCCCTCTTGTTGTCTGGCCATGAACCAAAGGGACCCCCACCTGCAGCTGTCCCAGCATTCCAGGGGCAAGTCTGACCAGGGGAGCATAACCCTCCCTCGCCCCAAACCGCCCTTGTCCCACAAACCACACATCCTGGTTGTCCTTAGTCACTGCCCTGAAAGCTCTGCTTTTTATGCCCAGCGGATGTTCCTGTCTCCCCAGCCAGCGTTCGATAGCCGAGCAGATAGGCTAAATGTGTGCTTGAGCTCCTGCAGGCCAGGGATACTTGAATATTTTTAAAATGATTGGTATTTCAGAACAAGATGAAAGTCATCATGGAAAAGCTCAAACTCCTGGACTTCTCTGTGTGTCTTTTATAGTATATATAGTTATAGTTTGAATTTTATATAGCAAACGGGTTGTTTTTCTTTTTCTCTCTCTCTCTCCTCTCTATCTCTCTCTCTCTCTCTCTCTTTTTTTTTGTACTTGTAACAAATTACCATGAACTTAGTGGCTTAGTATAACACAAATTTATTATCTTAAATTTCAGGAAGCCAGAAGTCTAAAATGGGTTAGCCGAGTTATGTTCCTTCTGCAGGCTATAGGGTAGAATCTCTTTCCTTGCCTTTTCTAGCTTCTAAAGGCTTCCTACATTTCTTAGCTTGTGGGACCATATCACTCCAGCCTGTTTCCATGGTCACATTTCATTCTCTGGTCCTTTGCCTCCCTCCTACAAGGACACTTGTGATGACATTGGGCCCACGTGGATAACCTCTCCATCTCGAGATGGGCCATTTAATCACATCTGGAAAATGCCTTTTGCCACATAACATACCATATTCACAGGTTCAGGGATTCGGACATGGCTCTCTTTGGAAGCCACTGACCACAGGTGCCATCTCCTTTCCATTACTGTGCTGATCTGTCCCTGCCCCTGGCCTGAGTGTCTTCTCATGGCTGGCTCCCTGCCGTCATCTTCCTGTGACCTCTGCAGCACCTTCTGTGGT